CCCCAAAACCCCAAAACCCCAAAACCCCAAAACCCCAAAACCCCAAAACCCCTAAATCTCCTATCACCATTGAAATTTTATCCCCAATTTAAATCCTCAAAAATCAAATTATTATTAACAAATACCAGCTTTTTCTACTCTGTATATCTCCAAGTGCTCTGAAGTGAGAGGAACAGAGCCGACCAATTCGCCTATGTATTTGGTACAGTGTTTGAAGTGGAGGGAGGTGGTCGTGCAGTGGAGGGATGATTTTCAAACTGTAATGCTCTAGGAGAGGTTTCAAGTAATTTCTCCAAAACAGCTGACAATTCTGGCAAACTTATCTTTGGAGATGAGGCTTTGTTCTTTATTATAAGATTCTCACATAACCTATAAGGGAGACAGTTCTCCACAAAGTCATTTAAGAGTGAAAGATGATCTTTTGCTGGCCAGAAAGTGAAAGTCTTCTTCTCAGAGATTTTTGATTTTGACTTAATATAACCCTTCATTAAATCAATATGAGTGTTTTTGTTTCAATCAATTTCAAAATCAAGGAAAGATCTCTTTTCTGCTGCTCAATTTTCATTAATCCTGAGTTCAAACTCACTCCCAAAGACAGAATTTTGAGGCACTTTTCAAGGATCAACTTTTTGTGATGGCACTAAATTGCTTGATTTAGACGGACTACTTGAGGAGGCCTTCTTCTCAGCCATGTCTGGATTCTTATCTTCTCGGTCCAAATCCTTAACCTTGTTGTCTTTGAGTTCACTCTTACTTTCTTCCTTTACTATCTTTTGCTCGTCTTCTAATTCTTTGTGTTCTTTCTTGTGGTCATTATAATTACTTATTTTATGTCTGATGAGCTTTTGGTGGGAAATACTTAGAACTTTCATCATTGATGGATTGTTATTGATGGATTCTCTTATCTTGTTGAGCTCAGCTTCATTTTGTTTAAACTTCAGGAAATCATTATCATTAATCTTCATTTCAGTATCTTGCTTAACTTTATTAAATTCAGTTTTGATTGAGGCTATAGATTCTTTAAATTCAGGTCAACTGTTCTCCAAACTGTATTGGTTATAATACTTTACAGCAGCATCAATTATCTTGCTACAACCCTGAATCTGGTACCATAAATACTTAGCGCTAACAATATGCTCTAAATCTCAGCTATAATGCAAATCAGCTTTGCAGTCTGCTCAAACAGGTCTTTTCTCCGTCAGTCAATACTCAGTGACAGGGTGTGAACAACCCTTGGTAAATCAGGTGCTTTCCATCTATATCTCTTCTAAAATCCCTCTGCATTTATATTAAGACTAGATATTCAGGATATAGACTTATTTCAGGGGTTTTGGGGTTTTGGGGTTTTGGGGTTTTGGGG